AAACAATATTAACATAGATGAAAACCCAATGGTTGCTATTGATAGTAATGAATTACATAAAATGCTTGAAGATATATCGCTTTTAATGAAGAAATATGAAATAATATTCGAAGACAAGTTAGGATGTCTTAATGATTACCAAATGGATGCAAAATAAGATGGGGTAAATATTATGAGAAGATATACTCGATTTTATTTTTACGAATGAATCTTTAAAGTACTAATTAAACGGTTTATATCGTGTCAGGGTTCAGTATATTGGATAATTATTTTTTATATTGTTCAATGTATACAAGTTTTTATGGTCAGTTTTGATCCAATTTATAGTTCAATTCAGACGGGTTTATTAAAAAGTTTTTCACCATTTTAATGATATTGGAAAGGTTTTTCTTTTTGTTCGTTAAGGAATGTTCTTTGTCTGCCAGATGATAGGGACAATAAGTCATTTTTTTAAATGAATAGAAAAGTTTTGTTTTTATCTTTTCTTGAATAAATATAAAGGTTTTTCAGGGTATTAAAAAAGTTTTTGTTCTCAGTGTTAGTCGAAAAGTTTTTTTTTTGGTCGTGTTATGTTTGATTATTCACATTGATAAAAATTTATTTTTTCAATCGGCAGTGTCTGCCAGTTGTTATTTTTTTATCTGGATGTTGTAGCCAGACATAAAAGTATATATTTGTTGGAAAGAAAATACAATATCTATTTAGTAAATGACTTTTTATCATGATACTTCATAATGTATATTGAAAAGAGAATCTTAAACATTTGGTAAAAAAAATTTATGTTATATATTTTTTTTCTTCCAGCCCTTCTGTTGTATATTTTTTTTTCCCTAACTTATTTTTATTGGAAGTTGTCTCTAATTTTGTAATTAATGTTAAGGAATGAATAATACTGACCTGGGGATTCGCATGACTGGGTTAGTTGTGGATAAAATATTTTTTTTGTGGCATAAATATCATTGTTATATTTGAATGTTTATATATATTTTAAATGGTTACGCTATTTGAATTATATATTTCTTACATTTTATATTATCTAATGGAGGTCAATGTAATTGAATATTAGTAGTAGTTAAATGACATAATTATAAAAGACTATACAGTATTAATATGATTTGTTGTAACACATTTTCATAATGTGAAAAAACATTCTTGTATAGTTAACTAACTTTCCATAATTATTGTAAAAACATTTTGATAAAATTTTTGATATAATTTTTTTTTAATTTTTTTAAAATTTTTTTAATAATAAGAGTTTTTAAACTTTAATGAAGATTTACGTCAAAGTTATATATCGAATATAATTTTTTTATGTTTGGGACCCAAGTTTAAGTGGGAAAATGAGAATAAAAATTTTCTAAGATTTTTGGAATAATAATTTTTTTTAAATGCATTATAAATTTTTTTAAATTTAAAGTATTATTTACAATATATTAATGTTACTTTTAGTTATCTAAAGAATGGAAATCAGGATAAGAAATTTGATAATTTCTTAATAAACATAAGTGAAAGAAAATTCGAATTTAGGGTTTTCAGATAATTCTTATTTTTTTTGGTTTTAAAATTAAATAAAATTTAAAATTTCCTACGCATACCAAAAATCATCGAGATATACCACCAACCATTCTACCCATAACGGAAGCCCCGACACTTTAATTTAACTTTATATCAGTCCTATGCACAATAGGAATAAGTGGATTGAAAAAATTCACAATAATAGATGGGGCTTTTACTGCGATAAAATTCAAGGCATACCTGGATGAATTATTCTCACTTTTACCATCAAATTCATTACTTATAATGGATAATGCTCCTACATCGAGCTAGGATAATTAGTGAGAATTATCCAAATATCATATTTTTGCCACCCTATTCACCGCAATTAAATCCGATAGAAAATTTTTTCGGAGTAATTTAAAATCAATATAGATCAAATTCTCCTAAACCCAATAACCGAAATGAAGTTATTTCAATTGTTACTAGTATTTTAGGCAATTATTTTACATATAATTTTTCAAATTTTTATTCGCACACCATAAAGTTTATTGAAGAGGGAATTCGATGCATTCCTTTAAATGATTGAATTTGTAATTGATTTATATTGTGTAATATTATATTTACAAAGAATAAATAAATAATAAATGGTTTTTTTATTTTGGTGTTTCGAATTGATCATAAAAATTATAAACAAATAAGAATTATCTGAAAACCCTAAGTTTTCACTCATGTTTATTTAAGAAATTATTCAAATTTCTTATCCTGATTTCCATTCTTTGGATAACTAAAAGCAAAATTATAATATTGGAATAATGTTTTAAATTTAAAAAAGATATTGTAAAAAAATTTCTAAAAATCTTAGAAAATTTTTATTCTCATTTTCCCACTTAAACTTGGTCCCAAACATAAAAAAATTATATTCGATATATAACTTTGACGTAAATCTTCATTAAAGTTTAAAAACTCTTATTATTAAAAAAATTTTAAAAAAATTAAAAAAAAATTATATCAAAAATTTTATCAAAATGTTTTTACAATAATTATGGAAAGTTATTTAACTATACAAGAATGTTTTTTCACATTATGAAAATGTGTTACAACAAATCATATTAATACTGTATGTAGGAAACAATTTTATAATAAAGAATCTATTGTTTTGATTATAAAAAATGGCGACGAAATAAAAAAAAAATCTAAGTCGCGCGGTTTTCGGTCTTCGGTCAAGTTTAATAATATATAGAATTATAAATTTTTTTTCTGTTTATAAAAAAAAAATTATATTTAGAAATTATGGATAAAATTATTCTCCAGGACTTTAAAAAGGAGGATTGTTCTATCGAGGACTACGTTGATTATATCATATATATACTAAATGTGAAAAATATTCCTCAAACTGACGCCACTTTAAAAAAATTATTTATAGCATATGGAGGAATAAACATTATAACTGATATCAAAAAATTACTCTATCCTAGGAATATAGAGGAGGTAGGATGGATTGACATATATAAAATAGCAAAACAACTATATAAAGATGAAAGAACTATTTTGGCATCAAGAATTGATTTCATTTAAGTCGCGGGGCTACTGAATCCGTAATGAGCTATTTAAAAAATATAAAGGAGCTAGCCCGAAGATGCGAATTTGAAGACAATGTAGAACTGAGAATTCGAGATCAATTAATCGCCGGACTAAAGATGTCACAACTGGATAAAGAACTACGATTAAGATATCCAGATACTACAGACGAAGACCAACCGTTAAGCTTAAACAAAGTGGTAGAATTGGCTTTAGCGATGGAACGAGCCGACTTAGAAATAAATAATACTGCTAAAATGGTATATAAAATCAAAGCCGAATAAACATGATAATGATAATCAGATAAATCAACATGATAAAAATAATCGGCAGTATAAGTATAATAATAATGATAAACGGCACTATCAAAATGATAATAAAGTATATGTAAAAAGACAACTAGTGCCCGGGTATAATAACTACCATACAAATAATAATAGTAATTGGAGAAAACCATGCTATTTCTGTAATCGATTTCATGCTATTAGAAATTGTCCCGCCTACGGAAAATTGTGCAGCAAATATAGGAACCAAACCACTTCGCCGTATGTTGTAAAGCTAAAGAAAAGATTTACGGAACAAATTACAATAATAAAGAAGACGATTCGGTGTCTCAATAAGAAAAATATATAAATATGGGCAACATCCAACAATTGAAGTATTAATAAACAACCAAAAAATTAAAATGGAATATGATACTGGCTCGACAGTAACCATTATTAATGAAATAATATGGAATTAAATCGGAAAGCCAAAACTTAGAAGGGCTAAAGCACCAACTACATATGGAAATAATAGAATAAAAATTATGGGTGAAGCTGATGTAAAAGTACAATTGAATAATAACATAAAATGGCTTCCATTATTAGTCACACAAACAAATGATGCAGCTCTATTTGGATTTCCATGGATTATCGAATTTGACTTAGCATTACCAAAAAATGTAAAAATCAATATGATCAACAATAGATATAAATACAATGATAATGGTAACGTAAATATTGACAAACTATATAAAGAATTTGCTACGGTGTTTGATAATAAATTAGGATTAATAAAAAATGACGAACTAGTAAAACTACAATTGGAAGAAAATACAAAACCAATTGCACTGCCAGCTAGAAGAGTACCGTACCTGGAGTACTCCAATGGTAGTGGTAAGTAAAACTTCAGGCGAACTACGATTATGTGGAGATTTTAAAGTAACGTTAAATAAATTTCTACTAAAAGACTATCACATTCTACCAACGTTTGAAGAATTAATAGAAAAATAGCGAATGGAAATAAATATACAACATTAGATCTCAAAGATGCATACCTACAAATGAGCATTGACGATGAATCGCAAGAATTATTAACAATGGTAACACTAAATGGATACTACCGCTATTTACGATTACCTTTTTGTATATCTACAGCACCAATAATATTTCAACGATATATGGACGATTTACTGGCTGATTGTAAAGATACAGCAGTTTATTTAGATGATGTTATAATCACAGGAAAAAATGATACTAAACATATCGAGAATATAAAACAAGTCCTTAAAAAATTACAAAATGCGGGATTAAAAGTCAAAACAAGCAAAATAAATTTTATGAAAGAAAAATTATCATATTTAGGATACATAATAGATCAAAATGGAATACACCCGGATAAAAATAAAATAATAGCAATACAAAAATATCCAACGCCAAAAGATAGACATGACATAAAATCATTTTTAGGTATATTAAACTATTATACACGGTTCATACCAAACTTACATGGAATCAAAGCCGACTTACATAATAAAACTAGTAAAAATGTTAAATGGAATTGGACTAAAAAGATGATGCATTATTTGAAATTGCAAAAGGAATAGTAACAGAACACAATACTATAATTTTATAAACCGGATCTTGAGTTAATACTAGAAACAGATGCATCAAACCAAGGATTTGGAGCTGTACTCTTGCAAAAATATGATAATGGTAACGAATACCCAATAGCTCACACCTCGAGAACTTTACAAGATGCTGAAAAGAATTATTCAACAATCGACAAATAAGCCAAAGCCATAGTAAACGGCGTAGAAAAATTTCATAACTATTTGTATGGACGAAAATTTAAAATACGAACGGACCATAAACCTTTAAAAAAATATATGGGGATAACAGAGATTTAAACGCTTTAACAAACCAAAGATTGTTACGTTGGGCTTATAAATTATCAGCATATGATTATGAAATAATGTATAAGAATGGCGCAAGTAATATAATTGCAGATGCTTTATCGCGAAACCCAATAGAGAAAAATGATAATAAAATAACAAGTGAAAATAAACCAGTGAAATATATACGAAATCTTATTTATGACACATTAACTCTATCAAGAAAAGAACTTAGAGATGAAACTGCTAAAGATCCAATTTTAAGAAGAGTAAAAATATTATTAAATGGTACAAATATACAAAATCAAGCATCAGAATTACAAGCTTTTAGAACAAGAATAGATGAAATAGAAAATGATGACGGTATCCTATTTTAAAATGGTCGCTTAATAATTCCATATTCACTACAAAAACGAGTTTTACAGATATTACATACAGATCATCCCGGTATTACATCGATGAAATCCATTACGAGACATTATATATGGTGGGAAAAATTAGATAAAGATGTCGAAAAATTAGTCAACCGCTGTATCGGGTGTCAAAAACATCGCAGAGATATACCAGAAGTTGCCGTATACCCATGGAATCCGCCAGCAAAACCCTGGGAAAGGGTACATTTAGATTTTGCCGGACCACTAGACGGATTTTATTGGCTGGTAGGAATCGATGCATATTCAAAATGGATAGAGATCGATAGAATCAAAGATACCACAAGTAAAAATTTAATAAAGATTGGAAAAATGGCTTACACGATATTGTGTTCCACGTCAAATTGTCACAGACAATGGTCCACAATTCATTTCAAATGAATTTTACAAATGGTGCAAAAATAAGAATATACATCACATACCATCCGAGAAGTAACGGATTAGTTGAAAGATGCATACAAACTATAAAAAATCGGTATTTTGCTAATAGAGAACAATCAAATGATGGGGAAAAATGCCTTAATGAAGTATTAGTTACATATAGAAATTCCGAACATTCCTCAACGGGCTGAATACCTGCCAAACTATTTATGGGGAGAAGACTAAATACTTTATTAGACTGGGTGAAACCATCAATTACTGAAAAATTCGAAACCTCTGTAGTAAAACACGATCAGTTAAACAAAGGCATACATAGAGATTTTGGAGAAAACGAATTAGTTTGGATAAAAAATCCACTTGAAAAGGATGGCATGAAGGAAAAATAATAAATCAACAAGCAAAATTCTCGTATAACGTAGAAGAAAAAGATAAAATAGTACGAAAACACGCAAATCAACTACGAATAAGGGAAGAACCAGACGAAACCAAATCAATAATACCAATTGAACCAAGTCAAAAAGGAAGGCAATCGCGTTATCCAACAAGGGAACGAAAACCAACAAAAAGATTAATAGATGAACTTGAACTTGGTAATAAAAAGATTGATAGACGATCTTAACTTGGTGGGAAAGAAGATATGTTATATTTGAATGTTTAAATATATTTTAAAAGGTTACGCTATTTGAATTATATATTTCTTACATTTTATATTATCTTATGGAGGTCAATGTAATTGCATATTAGTAGTAGTTAAATGACATAATTATAAAAAACTATATATAGGAAACAATTTTATAATAAAGAATCTATTGTTTTGACTATAAAAATCATTAGTATTTTTTTTCGGTCACTTATGATAATTTATTTTCTTTTATTTTTTTTGTGTTTGTATTTCACTTGTATTTTAATGATTTTTTTTTAAAAAAAAATTAATTATTATAAAATAATAATAATATAAATAAATTGCCAAAATCACACGTGAAACGTATTCCCCATTATCAGACTCGTGTCAAGTTAATTTATCAAGCCAATGCTCATGAATTATCGTTTACTCAACCTTTCGGAGCAATGACAACTACCCGATTACGATGTATGACGTCAATGTAGACAAATAGAGATCAAATCCTTTTACGCTATGGCCATTTTATTCAGTGGGGCTACATTTCTCTACGTTGCCGCTTTTTACATTTTGCCAGAAACAGGCTTTTTGAAACATTCGCCTCATAATAATAACGTCAATCATTATTCCAAAACTCCACGAAGGAATACCACAGTACCATCAATGATGAATTTAGGCAATGAACATTCTTTATTACGAATGGATATCGCAGACGAAAAAAAATCGAAGTGGAAAACGAAGCAGATGATTTGACAAAGATTTTATTATTACCGACAAAACAACTTAATGTTAAAACAATATTAATGACGATTGTGAAATTGGATATTTTAGGAAATATCTATTGTTCCTTTCGGATTTGGTGTTTCCCATAGTTATATCCACTGTCACAATGGATCATTCACATTGAAATTAGCTATTTTATGATAATCATTTCAAATTAGATTTTTTTATCGTTTTTGATGAAAAAAGATTTTTATATCATTAATGTTTTTTTATGAAAATATAATCAATTGTTTTTTTTTACAAAAATTGCTAATAAAGAAAAACTTACATCTTTGCCAGTATGGATTGTCTGCTCAATTTTGATAGTTCTTTTTATTTAGTTTTCTAATTTGACATTTCTAAATTTTTTTAATTTCGTCATCGTCTTTTTTGACAGTATTTAAAAAAAATCTATTCTTAAAATGTTTTTTTTTTATATGTATATAAATATATATACAAATATTAATTATTATATATTTTTTTAAATTAATACTATCAGTAAATTCTTATATTTGTTAACTATAATTTTTATCCTTTATATCATAGCTTTATAGTAAATATTCTTTTTATAGTTACAATATTTTTATATTTGTATTTTATAAATTTATTTAAACAAATTATAAATATTTTCATATTTTTTATAAATTTATATTATAGTTTTTTGTTATTTACAATAAATATTTAATGTAATTTGTGTATATACTACATTTTGAAATTTATTTTATTATATATTATCATTAAAATAAATACATAGTTAAATAAAGGGTTATGTATGTTAAAGTATTTTAATAATAAATAAAATCTATAATAAAATTCTCTGCAAAATTTTGCTATATGCAAAAATTTAATTAAAATAATTATTTTTAACATAGAATAAGATATATTGAGTTATCATAAAAAATGGGAGGTTTGGGGAGGGGCGATTTTTTTCTTCTTTCTACACCGAATGGATTGAATTAACTTAGAATTGACTAAACATTGATAAAATTTTCAGAATAATGCTTCCAGTCGCGTATTAATTATAAATTTGGCCATAATTTTGTTACTAATATTTTTTTCATTTAAGCTGGCTTCTATAGTGGTTAAACACTAATAAAGCACAAAATATTGGCAAATTTTTAAAATGGAGTTTGGGGGCGAAGTTTCCAAAAAATTTTTTAACCCCCCCCCCCCCCCTCCCCATGGATTAATCCTGGCTACGCTACTTATTTAATTACATTTATTATCACAGTCATAAGTTATTTTATCAATTAATTTCGTTATAGTTTTCCGGCATAAAATTTACTTATTATTTTCAAATTTTTATGAGCGTAATATTTATCTACCATTTTCAAATTTCTAGTCAAATAATAATTATTTCAGAAACTTCTGGTCCAACAGGGAGAAAGAAATTGCAACCTTGTCCAACGAAATAGAGTCTCCGCCATCAAGCAGTAACAGCTTTTATGGAGTTAGAAGAGCCAATTATTTGCTATTACTGAAATATCACAATGGCCTGAAGGAAATAATTCCTCAGAAGCAAGAAAATTATTGGAATCGATGCTTATTTCAAATTTTTTTTTTCATTAGAATGTATTATTTAATTATACAACTATTTTATGTATTACTTTTCAAAAACATGACATTGACTTGATTAAGAAGATGAGAATAGCGGAGAGAATTTTACTAGAACTCAAGGAAATTAGGGCTAATGTTGATGAAGAATTTTATATTTTATATGTTATTGCTGAATCAAAAGCAGAGCTATACGTGTTTAATATTTGTCCCTCGACTTGTAGCAAGGAAAGCTCATCGTTAGAACATTAATATGGGATCAGTAGACGAGTATACAGATACAGATACATTTATAACCCAAATAAATGAATGGTTTTTAATTCATCATGCAGCACTTACTAATCTGCAAATATTACTTCCACAAAAACTTTCCCAACCTTTTTCAGATGGTGATAGAAAAAAAAATATTTGTTAGATTTTTATCATGAAAATGTTAAAGTATCTTATGATGCCTTATTAGCTGAATAACTATGTTTATAACATTAACTATGATTGATATAGTCCCGAAAAATGCTATGGATGCTCATTATTTCAAACACATTTTTGATTATATTCCCAATGTATTTAAAGGGTTTATATATATTAGCAACTCTTCCCATTAGTAAACTAATGAGAGAACATTCTCTTTTTTAAGAAGAATAACAGAGCCCTGCAGAAGTACCATTTGCAGGGCACAACCCAGATTTCTTTTAAAGATTTTTACGGCCCGGCCCGGGTTTGATTATTATAGCTAATAATAACGATTTCAAATATAGGCTGTTAAAATATACAGCCCGGCCTGGATGTTTTTAAAAAAAATTAAAATACCGTCCGGCCTGGGGCCGCCTGCAGGTCTCTGAAAAACATACCAATAAGTACAACTTCTCAAAGTAGATTGAAAGGTTTGGATCTTTTGAATATTCATAGGCATTTGACGACAAGCAAGGATGAGATAATTGAAAAATTAGCTCAATCCCATATAAGATTGAATTTTACATTGTAAATATATAATATACAAAATACAATTATTCCTAAGAAACTTTTTGCGTATTAATTTATATTGCCAACATTTAATTTTTTATACTTTATAAAAAATTCAAATTTCTCTTTTGGGTCATTTAAGTGATTCTTATAGTGGTTGGTTATATTCACTTTATATTTTATAATTCACATTTATTTTATAGTTTTTCATATACCGCCAGTTATATCCGTTTATTATTTTTTAATTCACATTATTTTATAGTTTTTTATATGCCAGTTTATACATCTAATTTTTTTATAATTCACATTAATTTAAAATTGTGTATTAGAAATAGTTATTAGTCATATTAAATTTAATGCTTGATATTTAAAAAAAACTTTCTTAAAAAATTTTATTATCCCCCCCCCCCCCAGACCAAATTCCTGCGTACGGGCCTTATGTAATTAGCAATTTGATTGAATTATTGCTTTCTTTACGAGAAAATATTATAATAACATTACATTATAATATATTTAAAATATGGAAGCGAATTTAATATAATTTTATTATTTTAATTTTAAAATAGATTTTTGATTAATTTATATTTTGGTTATGATTTTATATGAATAAAATTTTTTAAAAAATGTAATTTTTAAGTTTTTTTTTCAAAACTAATTATGATAGTAAGTATAAAGATATTGTAAGAACTGGATTACGAAGTAATTGGCAAATATAAATTAAATGATATATTTTTATTTTAATTTCAGTTGGAAATATTTTTTTTTGACTCGAAAATATTCAGAGGGAAAAGGCTAACATTTTAAATGTAATTTCAAATATTTTTATATAATTGTACTCAGAATTAAATTTCCTATCTAAAAATGCTTAGTTTATTTTTTTACGTTTCCGGTTCGAAAAATTATTTTTTGTCACGAAAAGGGGAAAAGGCTAACATTTTAAAAGTAATTTCATTTTTATATGATTGTACTCAGAATTAAATTTCCTATCTAAAAATGCTTAGATGTGTTTTTTTACATTTTCGGTTCGAAAAACCTTTTTTTGTCGCAAAAATATTCAGAGAAAAAAGGCTACCATTTTAAAAGTAATTACAAATATTTTTATATCATTAGAATTAAATTTCCCATCTAAAAATCCTTAGATGTATTTAATACGTTTTCTGTTCGAAAATAATATTTTTTGTCGCGAAAACATTCAGAGGGAAAAGGCTAACATTTAAAAGTAAATTCAAATATACTAAACTAAATATATTTCCTTAATTTAAAAAATTGCATCTTTAACACAGTATTAAAAGAGAAAGAAAAAGAAATATAGAAAGAAATTAAAAGAGAAGAGGGGTAAAGGGAAGGGAAAAGTGAAGAAAGGGGAAGGTAATAAGAGGAATGAAAGGGAAAGGAAGAAAAAGAGAAAGAAAAAGAAAAAGGAATTAAAAGAGAAAAGGGAAAAGGTAAAGATAAGTGGATGGGAAAAAAGGGAAAAGAAAAGGGTAATGAAAGGAAAAGAGAAGAAAGAGTAATGTAATAAGAGAAATTAAAAGAAAAAGGAAGAAAAAGAGAAGGGAAAGGAAAAGAGAAGAAAGGGGAAGGTAATAAGAGAAATTAAAAGGGAAAAGAAGAAAAAAGGAATGTGGAAAAAAATTAAAAAGGGAAGAAGGAAAAGAGAAAGAAAGGAAAAGGGTAAGGAAAAGAAAAAGGGTAATGAAAGGAAAAATGAAAGAGAAAGAAAA